ATCGGTATTCGAAAGAGGCGGAAAAGAGAAACGATGAGTCACTCGTGTCCCTCGCCATGTCTCTGGGTCTCGCTTTACGGCGCCCTGTTTTTTTTATTTGCTGGGTAGAGATTGATAGATTCGAAGAGATGACAAGAAAAACAGAAAGAAATTAAAACGAAGTGAGACTTTTTGTTTTCCTAGGCAGTCCTATGAGGACGGGAAAAAATGAGAAGAGTGGGGGGTCGTATAGAACTGGACTCTAACAACGCGATGAGTCATACTTGTCATGAATGCGCGACAAAATGTTGTGGATTGGTATCGGAAATGAAAACTATAAAAAATAGAAATACGGAAAAAATAGAGACAACAATTCTGCCTGCCTCTGGGAGGTTTTAGGCTTGCCTGAGTGCAGATATTGTTGAGAACAAAAAATACCGGGAAGAGATCCTACGATAAGCTTTGGTCTCGCCCAACATTTCACACCATTCCTCACATGCTTTATACTGTGGTGTAACAAGAAAATATGAGGTGGAGCAACTGTAGTTATGCTCCGCCCTCTGAATTATCACCTGAACTTTGATCGTGTTAGCACAAAAAAAAAGAGGAAAAGGGGTTTTGATCAAGGGAACATAGAAAAAAATTTTATCGTTTTTTTTTCTCTCAGATCAAATTGAAACAAACAAACAAAAAATAATGGAATGGATAAAAACATTGATTATCATTTGAAAACCAATTCTTGATCGACAATAATTTTGAAATTGAACAAAAAAGCAAACAAAACACAAAAAATGAATATTCAGAGTGGTTAGTTCTCTTTTTCTATTCATCACACGGAACTACGGTGGTCTCTCTAGATCTGTAATTTCTCTTGAATAGCAGAGTGTTTTGTTTCCGCATTATTATTGTTCTTATTTTTGTAGTATTATACTTGACAGTAATTCGTTGCAATCTGATAAAATCCGTTATCTTGACATATCATCGATTTTCAAAGACCACATATCCATTGCTGACCTTGACATCACTGTTTGTGTGAGAGGCGACTTTTCAGGGTTATTCACAATGTCGCATTTCCTTTCAGTTGTTATACTTCTATACAATTTTTGTCCGTTTTAGGGGATGTCAAACCAAGAATTGAAGACGAAGTTGAACGAATTCTTCGAACGTCATGCACATCAAGACTTGGTATGATTTTTTTTGAAACAAAACCAACTTTGTTCATTTTGTTCAGACTAGCCAACAAAATGCTGAAATCTTCAAAAACTTGTACAGTCAATTTTTAAACGACCAGCATCACATTGATTGGAGTTCTTGGAAATTCATCAATGAGGAACATCAAGTGACTCTTCGTGAGTTGCCACTCTTCGACAAAGCTAGGTACGAGATAAATCAAACTTTCTTGTTGCGAGATAGTACTGTTTCAGAAAAGATGTTGTCAATAAACTAGCTGTGATAAAATTGAATGGAGGACTCGGAACCACGATGGGATGTACGAAAGCAAAATCTCTTATTGAAGTTCGAGATGGATACACTTTCATGGATTTGGCTGTGTTGGAGCATGAAGTAAGTGATTATTTAAGATATATACTTTATCAGAATTCATCAAGTTCTAAATTTCTAACAAATCACTTTCTGGATGTTTTTTCTTAAAAATTATTTCCAACACTGGTCACAAATCAATACATGATTGACGTCATTTTGACTGTATAAAAGATTATTTTATTAAAACTATGGTGACATTTGTATTGAAAACAATTATTATCATCATAATCATCATCATCATCATCGTCATCATCATCGTCATCATCATCATCATCATCATCATCATCATCATCATCATCATAATCAAAACTCACTTCATCATTGGAATTTTCAGTAATACCATTTGTTTGCTCTATTTTAATGTGCAAACATATTATCAGTCATAGTTGACAGCTTACAATTCCAAAACGAAATGTTGATGATGTTCATGATCGTGACATCAAAAATATTTCTTTCGTAACAGTTGAAGGGACTACCGAACTTTTCAAGTGCTCTTTTCCAGAAAGTTGAGCATTCAAACAGGTTCAGCCAAGCTTTATGTGTATGTGAATTCAAACGGATTACATTCTTTATACCAAAATTTCGCACATAGTGGAGAAAACATGTTCACGAATACTACTATATATATATATATATATATATATATATATATATATATTACCGGTCAATAAGAAATACGAAAACTTGTTTTCAGTTAAATTTGACCATTTTCAAGAATCTGTAGATTGGCTGTCAAGTGTCGGATCATTTTGAAAACCTCGGAGTATGTATAATATACTTAGATTGAAAACGTTGCATTCAAAAAATTCTTTTAAAACGTTTAGTTTTTTCAGCTACTTCCCGATTTCTGATTCACACCTTTTTTGGCCCGTTTTGTATTGAAAAATGTGAAAAAAAAGCAAGTGTCTCTCAAAAAACGGCAAATAGCTGAAAATCTAGGAAACTTCAGAAAATTAAACAAATGCAAAGTTTTCAATCTAGGTCTGTTTCACACCCTTTGAAGTTTTCAAAGTGATTCGACATTTGACAGCCCAGCTATAGACGAATATTTTGAGAATTAACTGAAAGACACGTCTTCGTATATTTTATTGACCCGTACTGTAAGTATTACGTTTGATTACTGTTCCAGAAAATGTGTCAGTTGTATGGAGTCGACGTTCCACTCTACCTCATGAACTCGTTTTACACCGACGATGATACCAAATCATACCTGTCGTTGAAAGGATATGACAAAGTGAGAACATTTGTACAATCCAAATGTCCTAGACTTGATGCTCAGACTAAATTACCAGTTGATGATGAAAGCTGGGGAGATGACGCGTAAGATTGTTTGTTTTTGAATTTCACATTCACCTTCTGTTTTCAGTTGGTGTCCTCCAGGACACGGAAATATATTCCAGTCTCTTCAAAATACAGGCGTTCTTGATCAACTTCTCTCTCAAGGGCGTGAAATCATTTTCGTTTCGAACATCGACAATACCGGAGCAAATGCAGATTTTCAAATTGTGAAACTTATGCTGGATAACCACGTTGACTACGTCATGGAATGTACTCCAAAAACTCATGTCGACGTCAAAGGTGGAACTCTGATTGAAATAAACAACCAAATGATGCACCTAGAGATGCCGCAAGTTCCACCAGAACACTTGCCGGATTTCTGCTCCACTAAAACTTTCAAGTGAGCTTCTCAACCATATAACTTTAATTACAATACGACTTTTCCAGAATATTCAACACAAATAACATTTGGGTCAATTTGAAGGCTGTCAAAAATCGATTGCCAGATATCAAAAGTGAAATTATTGTCAACAAGAAAAAAGTCAGAGGACGAGAAGTGCTCCAATTAGAGTTTTCTATTGGAGGGTGTATCAAAAATTTTGCAAATGCTCTTTGTAAGAAATTGTCTTCATTTAAAAGTCCATGTCCAAAAAGTCCATTTCATTTTTAAGGTGTTCATGTGGAACGAAGCCGGTTCCGACCGGTAAAAAATCTTGGAGATTTTCTGTCTCTTCGTTCATCTCTTTGTGATTTGGATACGGACACATTTCAAATTCATCACAACGACACGATGGGCGTTCCTCCTGTTATCAGCATGGATTCATCAGTATACACAAGTGTGGAGGAAGTCAACATGAAATTTCCGTACCCATTGATCTTTAAAAACTGTCAAGAATTCAATGTAATCGGAGACGTGACATTTGGAAAAAACGTACAACTCACTGGAAAAGTTACTGTCGAAGTAGAAACTCAGCAAAAATATGTCGTACCCGATGGTACAGTTCTCAATAACCAGCACTTAATTTTGAAACGCTCATAATCTGTTTGATATCATTCATCACCTATGGGAACTTATACAGTTTGTTCCTTTTGAAGTTTGTTTTTCATCTGCACTGATGGTATTGTATTCAACTAATAATAAAAGTTAACTGAAATATATTTATATAAAGTTTAGTATAGTTGAATGCAAGTGTTTATAACAAACATCAGTTCAATGTGTGAAAAGAGATTTAACATATTTAGAGAGATTGGAAGTGGAGGAAATAAATTTCATGAATGTGGAATTATATAAATGAATAAATAATGGAAATTTACAGTCGAATATCATAATGTGGAGGAATGCGAGCAACCAATTGGTAATCAAAGTATAGTGCGCCGTTGACCATAGTAACAGTACGTCCTTCGGCCTGAGTGTTGTAAAATTGATTTGAAAAGATACATAATTTTTAGATTCTATAATTCTGTACATTTTTTATGAAAACTGCCTGTTTAGAGATGATTGAGTGTATGACTTTCTTTTTGTTTCTCTATTATAAAAATACAACTATCAAAATTAACTTTTGACTCACTATGTTTGTGTCTCAATTTTTTCCTATAACATACAACAAATTGGGTATTCATTGTAAGCTATACAATCGAAAAATGTTTTCACCTTTGCTTTGCGTATTTGAGACTGAATTTCAGCTGCATCTGGCGGTGGAGGCGCAGCTCCAACCAGCGCTCCAGCTTGTTGCATCATCATTGCAACACCCATTCCAACACCCATCGAACTAAAATAAAATGACTTGTTCTTCACCGGGGAAAAATAAAATATAAATTCGAAATTTCAAACTTTTAATACAAAACTCATGCTTTTTTTCTGTAGTTTTTTGGCAATCACAAATCAACTACAAAACTAACACGTGTATAAAATTCAAATGTTTTGGTGGTTCACAGTTCAAAATAGATGAAATGTGCGAACAAAAATACATTTCAATTGGCATTACAGATTTTAGAAAGAAACGAACGATTGCCTTCTTTTCCGAGCTTCGTGGATATTGAGCAAATGATGATGGGCGCTTGGATGAGGATGTTGATTTTCAGAATCATGATCGGATGACATACAACAACCCATTTAGATCATTTTTGTTGTACCGGGAACCGGATTTTGACGAGGGATGGCTGTTCTGAAAATTATCAAAGAAATTTCTACACGAAAGCGATGGTATGAACAGAAACAGTAAGTGGTGATAGATTCATTAATTTTTCAAATTTTAAAAGAAATGACAATAATTTTGAAAATATAAATTTAATATCAAACTCAAAATTCTCACGAAGGAAGTTAAGTAAAACCTAAGAAATGACAACAACATGCTGTCGAGAGGATGACAATATTTTTCTCGTTGTTCCCGGTCCACTAAAAAATGTTTTCCTTTCATTTTTCTCCTCATTTTCTTTTGTGTTCAGTGTTCCATCTCATATTCCAACAAAACTTTTGATGTTGATGAAGGAAAGGAAAATGTCAGTTGAAGGGTGGCGAAAAAAAATATCGGTGGAAAATGAGCAGGATTTCATTCAGATTATCTTCGGAGTGTTCAAACATCATCGTTAACAACAGGAGCACATTTTTCAACTCAACCAAATGATGAGTCTGCGGAATTTTAAACCGTTTCCTATGTTTTTTCAATTCCTATTATCAAAGCGATCGTATATGACAACGCACAATTTTGACAAAAAAAAACGTTTTTCCACAATAATCATTCCTGTTGAATAACAAAAAAAAATTAAGAAGGCTCAAGGTTCACGTTGAAAACAATGTTTAAAAGGAATTGGTCAGGCTTAAAAAAGGAAAAAATTCAACACGGGCCTCTAGCACCTATATGTTCAAGAGATATAGAAATCTACTTTACCCCGCAAAAACGAAATAAAAAAGGTTGGTCACCGCCGCTCTCTTCTATTCAAGTACATTACGCCACACGGCAAAAATGTTACATTTTCTTATATTTTTGGGTTTGAATCCAAAAAGAATATTGGGGCGAGATAAGTGTATGTCACTGTGTGCTCCTCTAGCGCTCAGACGGAGAAAATTTGTGGGGACGGGGGTGTCACGCATCTTTTTTCATCTTTCTTGAAAGACTGACAAAAACGACTAGATCCCATTTAGTGGAAATTGGGTTGGAGAAAGGAATTGAGAAGAATATATGGTTAGGCTACTAGCGACAATGCCGTGCACAAGCAGAAAATCCCCGAAAGTAACCTAACATGCGTCTTTTGACAACGAAACGGAGATATTTTGTAAATAAATTGAAGAAGTTAAATTCGATTTTGCCAACGATGCGGCTTTTTTCTTGTCTTCACTTCTTTACAAAACACCTTGTTGAACTTCGATGGCACTGGAAAAAAATGAAAGAAGAAAGAAATCGTATTTTTATTGTACAATAGATTGAGAAAGTAGAAATATGCAAATTTTTGTCTACATCGCTACATTTTTGATGACATGTATGGACTACGCACAACTGGTGAAAACCTAGTTTCGGAATCTTGAAACCATAAAGCATTGAAAAGAGAGCCCCAACTTTCCCAATATCAAAAGTTTATTATTAAATGAAGTTTGATTTTGTGGGAAAATCCTTTTGTCACTAATTTTAAAATGAAAACTTGTAAGAAAAAATATTGAAATTAGTCGTGCGGCTTATAATTGACAGGGCATACAAAAGGTATAGGAATGATGCCAAAAATAGTTTCACTACAAAAACCACGCAGTATAGTTGAGATGAGTGTTGGCAAGAAAGTGGTCTAGACAAAGTAAGTTTTAAACTCACTTGTCATTTGGAAAGGGACCTATCAAAAAACTAATTAGGAAAGTGAGTCGTTTTGTTAACAATTGTGCCAATAATTGAATTAGTTTTCCAGAACCGAAATAGGAGCAACTGAAGACTAGAACTGGTGAATGTGCGAATATTTCTTAGAAGTCATCTGAAAAAGGTGTCATCGTGGCTATTCTCAAAAATCAAACACAATATAAGTTTCGACCTGAGCAAGTTTTTATAAATGCATAATCAGATGTTTCATTTTCTCTGAGACAAGCTGATATCATGTTTACATGAATCTGAAAAAAAACTCCAACTGTTCAATCAATGTTCATGTATCTCAATTTTTGCTTTTAATCCTACGACCAGGTGTCGTAATGAATTATCGACAATCGATTTTATAATTTTTCGAACCTCAAATTTGGATTAACACTACACACATTTCCTTAGTGCCTTCACATTCGCATAATTGGAATGTCGACATGATTGGTTATTTTTGTTAATTACCTTCATTTCTCTAACAGAAGTGTATCTCTGAAAAAGCCATTAGAAGGAGGTGGAAAAATTGAAGCCCATAGGCCCTTATATGAGAAAATACGGTAGTGTGATCGATAGTTCATGTGTTCAAACTTTGTGTTATCTCGCTCTGAATTTTTCAAAGGCTTTGAAACACAGCTGAATACACGATCCGAAACGTTCCCCAACAGTTTTGCAACGTGGTACGATATTTGTTTTTTGAATGGTATGTTTCAAATTTGATTGAACTTTGTAATAGAAAAGTATTTTCAGTCATTTGGTTTCAGTCAGAAAAATCTTTATAGTCAGGACAAGTGTGTCTATTCGATGTTGTTTTTAGAAAACATTCCTGATGAAAATTCCGTTTACAGAACTTTTAATAATTAGTTCATAAATGGGTGAAGATTCACAGTGCTTAACAAATCACAGAAGACCGATCAGAATTTTGTTTCTTGTGAAGAGAATGATTTTTTTCGATTACGCTTTAAAAAAAACATATTGAAATTAGCGCATTCTTCCTTTAATTTCAGCTGCAAATATACACAACTTAGGTATTTTCTCTATTCACATTCAGTTATCATCCTTGTTACCTCTGTAAGTGTTGACTACTGATAAGCACTGTTATATGGCACCACTTTTTCCATGTACCTAAATACGGTTATTGGAAAAAAATCACACGAAACGCACATGTTCAAGTGGGGAAGGTTTTCTTTGGAAATCTAATCAAGAAAAAAATATAACAGATAAGGCAATAGCTCATACACGTGGAGAGATAAAATCACACCATACGTTTTTTGGTATATAAAGTCAAGTCGTGATTCAGTACACTTATGCATATATCAGTATTTTATTGGTGTTGATGCATTCACAATTCATTTTACACCTAACATTTTTTTTCAAATAAGACGATTTATTCTAAAATATCGCAACAAGAAACAATGTCACTTCCTACAGTTAGTAAAATATTTTAATTTTTTTTGGAGAAGGCTGTTAGTGTAGTTTCTTCATTTCTCACGTATTATCTGTTCGATTTGTTTGGAAGGCTTTCAGTTTCTCTGAAGATAAAACCCCGCGCTCTCTTTTTTCCTTCTTTCATATTCTATGCTTTCTGTTTGCTTCTTCTTTTCGCTTTCAGCTGCTTTCATTTTTCTCAAGAATTTCGCAGAACGTCGCGTTTCTTTTTTCGGCTCCCTTTTTCTTTTTTCCAAAGAAAAAACCACGCGCTTTTTTCTCTGAGCTTTACGAAATAAAGAGAAGATCTGCCACCAAACGACATCCTACTTTGAAAAAAAGGAGTCTTCTTACACTTCGAGTTTTTTCCGCCTCAAAAAATCTTGTACTTTCTCAGTCTAAGAATGTTGTCAACAAACATGTAATTTCTTACAGTTTTTGAATGTGAAAAGTGGTATAAAAGGGTGGCTCTCAAGAAATCATTCACGTTTCTTTTAGCAATATTTGGTGAATGCATGACAGCAAAACTCAGTTTCGACGTAAGAATAGAAATTGTTTTGTTTACTCTAACACACGCATATAGTTTTTTTTTTCTGATCAGCAGCACTAGACGTGTTCCCCAGTGTATTCTTGTGCTTCTTTATTTTTCTCGAATTATTTGTCTTTTTCTCTATTTTCTGATCGTTCCTTCAATCCAAAAATCGAAAGAAAATCGAAAGTTTTTTTTCTAAACAAACGTTTATTTTCAGGTAAAAAAACGACACTACATGTCTGCGAAAGCCGTTAGTGAGTTCTCCGGAAAAGAGGTAAGCTAATTTTGTTATTTTTTTCGAAAAATCGATAAAACTATTTCCACATTAAGACAATTGAATATTGAATTACTGAAAGAATGTAACCAGGTACTCTACAAGTACTTCGAATCGAGTGGTCTTCTTTTCTCTCCGCATGCATTTCACGTGAAAGCCGGAGATAGCTTCGCTGAAATTGCAAATAAGTATGACTGGCTTGTTCGTGACAACAAGGCGGTCATCAAACCTGACCAGTTGATAAAAAGACGAGGAAAGCTAGGATTGGTCAACATCGGAACACCGCAAGAACTAAAGGCTTGGTTCGAAAAAACTGCCAACACTTATGTGAAAATTGGACAAACAGAGGGACGCCTTCACACATTCATTGTTGAGCCGTTTTGCGCCCATACGGAGAAAGATGAGATGTATATTGCAATTTTCAGTGAAAGATCGCGTGATGTTATCATGTTTTATGAGCATGGAGGGGTTGATATTGGAGACGTCGAAGAAAAGGTAAACTAGAATTTTAAAAATTTCATAGATAATTACTTGAATCATTGAAGGCTCGCAGTGTTTCCATCTCCGTTCAGCTTGATAACAAAGCAATGGCAATATCGGAAGAAGAACTGACTCATCTGTTAGGACCAGTCAAGGATAACAAAGTCGTTAGAAAATTCGTTTTGGAGCTCTACGGAGCCTACAAAGACCTTCATTTCACTTACTTGGAAATCAATCCATTTGTAGTTCTGAATGATAAAGTCCATGTCCTAGATCTTGCTGCGAAGCTGGACGAGACTGCCAATTTTTTGTGTGCCGACAAATGGGAGAGCAGAATGACTCCATATGGAGGACCAAATCATGTCGAATTTCCTGCACCATTTGGACGTGATCTTACTTCAGAAGAACAGTACATTTCTGACATGGATGCTAAAACAGGAGCATCATTGAAGCTCACGATTTTGAATAGAAAAGGAAGAGTCTGGACTATGGTCGCCGGAGGAGGAGCTTCTGTAGTGTTCACGTAGGATTTACTATTCAATATAGATTTATTTATTTTCTTTTTTCCAGTGATACTGTCTGCGATCTTGGTGGTGCTACTGAGCTTGCCAACTACGGAGAATACTCTGGAGACCCGTCAGAATCTCAAACATATGAGTATGCAAAAACCATTCTCTCAGTTATGACCGAGGGCGCGCCAAGACCAGATGGCAAAGTCTTGATCATCGGAGGATCTATTGCGAATTTCACAAATGTTGCTAAAACATTCGGAGGTATTGTCAGAGCTTTCGAGAGTTTTGTGTCGAAGCTCAAAGAACACAAAGTCACGATTTTTGTGCGCCGTGGAGGACCAAACTACCAGGAAGGCCTGAGAAAAATCAAAGATGCTGCCACAAAATTGGAGCTGCCAATCCACGTTTTTGGACCGGAAACTCACATGACAGCAATAGTTGGAGCAGCACTCGGAGTCAAGCCGATGCCAACAATCCCAACTGCTCCTCAAACTACCGCACATTTTTTGTTAAGCCCTGAAAGAAACGTGAATGAATACAAAGAACAATTTTGTTTCTAAATTTGGATTTCAGACTGGAGGAACTGAACCAGCTCCACCTTCTCCTGCTCCAGCTCCTTCTTCTATTGCACACTCTACGATTACTGCTCAACAAAGTAAACTAAACAGTTTCCGTGGTCTGTTTGAAACTGATACCAAAGCAATTATCTGGGGCCAACAAGTCAAGGCGATACAGGGAATGCTGGATTTTGACTTTGTATGCAGAAGGGATTCTCCATCTGTCGTTGCTTCTACCTACCCATTCACCGGAGACAACAAGCAAAAGTTCTACTTTGGACAGAAAGAAATTCTTATCCCAGCTTATAAATCAATGGCAAAGGCTTTTGCAACGCATCCAGAAGCATCTATTATGATCACGTTTGCTTCAATGAGATCTGTATTTGAAACTGTTTTGGAGGCTCTCGAATTCCCGCAAATCAAAGTCATTGCAATTATTGCAGAAGGAGTACCAGAGAATCAAACAAGAAAACTATTAAAGGTATATTCGTCTCATTAACAGGCTATCATTAGCTTTACAGATTGCACATGATCGCGGAGTAACTCTTATCGGACCAGCTACTGTCGGAGGTATCAAACCAGGAGCATTCAAAATTGGAAACACTGGTGGCATGATGGATAACATCCTTGCTTCGAAGCTTTATCGCCCTGGAAGTGTCGCCTATGTCTCTCGTTCTGGAGGAATGTCTAATGAGCTCAACAATATTATCTCCCAGAATACGGATGGTGTGTATGAAGGAATCGCTATTGGTGGAGACCGCTATCCAGGAAGCACCTACACTGATCACATCATTCGATACCAAAATGACAATCGCGTTAAGATGATTGTCCTTCTTGGGGAAGTTGGTGGTGTTGAAGAATACAAAATTGTTGAGATTCTAAAACAGAAGAAGGTGACCAAACCTCTAGTTGCTTGGTGCATCGGTACTTGTGCCGATCATATCACTTCTGAAGTTCAATTCGGCCATGCAGGCGCATCCGCAAATGCTCTTGGCGAAACAGCGACATGCAAAAACGCTGCTCTTCGGGCATCAGGAGCACTGGTTCCTCCATCCTTTGACGATCTCGGCAAAACAATTCGTCAGGTGTATGACAATTTAGTTGATCAGAAAGTCATTGTCCCTCAACCGGAAATTCCGCCTCCTGCGGTTCCCATGGATTATGCATGGGCTCGCGAATTGGGGCTTATCAGGAAACCAGCATCTTTCATGACATCCATTTGTGATGAAAGAGGAGAAGAATTGAACTACGCCGGTGTTCCAATCACTAAAGTTTTGGAATCGGAAATGGGAATCGGAGGAGTCTTGGGATTATTATGGTTCCAGGTGAATAGCGAACTTCATTATGAATTATTATTGTAACAACTTTTAGAAACGTCTTCCACCACATGCCAACAGATTCATCGAGATTTGTTTGATGTTGACGGCCGATCATGGACCTGCTGTTTCCGGAGCTCACAACACAATAGTTTGTGCGCGTGCAGGCAAAGATTTGATCTCTTCACTTACATCTGGTCTGCTCACTATTGGAGATAGATTTGGAGGAGCTCTCGATGGAGCTGCTCGTCAATTTTCAGAGGCGTTTGATCAAGGATGGTCTGCCAATCAGTTTGTCAGTGAAATGAGAAAGAAAGGAAAACACATTATGGGAATTGGACATCGTGTAAAGAGTGTAAGTATCTAGGATAATTTAGTATGACAATAATCTCAAGTTCATTTTATAGATTAACAACCCCGACAAACGAGTTGAAATTCTCAAAAAGTTTGCGATGGACAAAAATGAGTTCGCCCAAGAGACTCCACTATTTGAATATGCTCTCGAAGTCGAAAAGATCACAACTGCGAAGAAGCCAAACTTAATTTTGAATGTTGATGGTGCAATTGCAATTTTGTTCGTAGATATTCTCCGTCACAGTGGAATGTTCACCAAAGCGGAAGCCGAAGAGACCATCGAAGTGGGATCGTTGAACGGGCTTTTCGTTTTGGGAAGATCCATTGGCTTCATCGGTCATTATCTCGATCAGTCTCGTCTGAAACAAGGTCTCTACCGCCATCCATGGGATGATATTTCCTACATCATGCCAGAAAGTAACTTGGTGAGCTACTGAGCTTTTGTGTAAAGCCCAAGTTAGTTTTTTTCCAGTAAACGACGTTGCAATAAGTTTTCGTCCAACAAAGTTCGACTGCAGCCCGATTATTCCTGTCATTTTGAAATTAATTTCATTCGCACTATTTATTTTTCCTCTAAGCTGAGCTGAGCTAACTTTTAGTACAAGAATACTATAATTGAGAAATAGTAGAATTTGAGTTTGTTCCTATTTTATACAAATAGATATTATTTATTGAAACAGAAAGCTTAGTAATAAAGTGAGTATAATTTAACAGTGTTATTATTTCATCTCCAAATAATACAAAATTAAGAGAATAAAAAACGAATAAACATGTAATGAAGTGACGGTTGAAGAATTACATAATTCAGTATTGCAACAACAAACTTTCACATGGACTCCACTGATCTTCTCTTTTTGACAACCGACCCCATTATTCTGAAAAAAATTTTTTTGAGATAAAATAGTAATTTTGCTCTGAAAAAAATCAACTTGAGATAAGGAGTTTAAAATTATTATTTTAAGTTCCGGCAAGAAAACAATTTTTCATAAGAATTTAGGAAATCTCACTATGAATATCCTAATGTCATAAAACCGGAAGAAAGGGATGTTTCGCATTTCGAATTACATTATGAAACTCAAAAAAATGGAGCATGTTTTATTCTTCATTTAACAACCAACCTCACAGTTTGTTATAGAAGCAGATGGGTCTGGACACGTTCCATTGTAAACTGTGAAATCACTACCTTCCTCCGATATGGTCATGCAGTATGATCCCGGGCACATTATTTGCGACTGAAATTATTGAAAAAAAAGAGAAATTTGTATTGATAATCAACAGTATTTCACCTTGCCGGTATCTTGAACTCGTCCTTCATAATCATATTTCGAAAATCCATAGCATTGCAAAGATTCGGCTAATGGTAAAAGTGAAACAGCAAGCAGTATAGAACTTTGTAGGTGCATTTGGTGGCAATGGTTTGAATAGTGTGATTCAATCAATTGAAAGAATTGTAGCAAGATAAGAAAACACAAACTAATTGGTGATTTAGCAATCACCTTGTTCACAGATCACTGCACACTGCCCTATTTTCTGCTACTTTCTATTTTTCTAATACTTTTTTTCTGTCTCTTTTTCCAATGTGTTTCTCGACACTTGGTCGAAAGAAAGAGAAGTAGAGGAGGGCACAAGAGTACACGTCACAGAGAAGAGACACACTGAGTGATACACACACGTCCTTGTGTCTTTGCACCACCTTTACTCGCAAACTATTTCGTTGGAAGGTATATATTGACCTCCGACAGCAACGAATAGTTCAACTGTCAAGAATACCTGCTCTTGCTACTATCGGTCACTGAAAAATGAGTGCGCTACTTGGAGGAAGAATTGCTGTAGTTACTGGTAATCTTTCCTGTTAATTTTTATACAGTTTTATTTAATATGTAAATCCATTCGGTGAACCACATTCTCAAACTCATTTGATCTTTACAGGCGGCGGATCCGGCATTGGCAAAGCAATTTCTGAAGCACTCGCCAAACACGGAGCTCGTGTCGTTGTTGCTGATCTAGATTCTAACACAGCAGCCGCAACAGCAAAAAGTCTGCAATCCGCCGAAAAACATTCTTCATTTGCCGTCGATGTATCAGACGCAAATAGTGTGAAACAATTAACTCATCATGTTAAATCACTTGGAACAACCTCGATTCTTGTTAACTGCGCCGGAATCACAAAGGTTTGCACATCAGAAATATGTTTATCTTGAGCTTCAAATATAATAATAGACAAAATATCATATTCTAATGAAATCATTATGATTTCAGGACTCGACTTTGGCTAAAATGACTGAAGAGAAATGGGACAGCGTTATCAAAGTTAATCTCACCGGAGTATTCCATGTAAGTTTTTTAGTGGTTCGGAAAAATTGTGTTTCGATATGGATTTTAAACTGCTCGCTGATTTTACGTGGTTTTTTCTAACTTGTGGCTTCTGAAGCACCATTTTGAAATTATCTTTGTTAAAAAATAGCGCCACTTTAAAATAGAGTGCTGCCAAATAACTGTTCTGTCAAGTTTACCAATTGAAAAATGTCAGGTCTCTCAAGCTTTCGTCAAGTCATCGATTGACGATAACAATCATCCACTTTCTATTATAAATGTCTCATCTATTGTCGGCAAAATGGGAAATTTTGGACAAACCAATTACGCTGCTACTAAAGCCGGAGTGATTGGATTCACAAAGTCTGCTGCCAAAGAATTGGCTAAAAAGGTGAGATTTTTAGAAGTCGGCTAATGAAAAGAACCTAACGGAACCAGTTCCTCTGAAGTATTTCAATTTCTAGAATGTTCGCGTCAATGCTGTGCTTCCGGGATTCATCAAGACACCAATGACAGAAGCAATGCCTCCAAACGTTCTAGCTGAGATTTGCAAGGGAATCCCTATGGGACGAATGGGCGAAACTGAAGAAATAGCCAATTCTGTTCTCTTCTTGGCCTCTGATCTCTCTTCATACGTGACTGGTGCAACATTGGAAGTTACTGGTGGATTCAGCATGTAAATAGTTCAGAAAATTGTTTTTTTAGTGAACCATTATTGTAAGCTTTTGAATAGTTGTTTTTCAATTGTATGGGCAATAAAATCATCAAAATATATACATTTTCGCGAATCAATGCAAAAAATACAAGCGTTGTTGTAACCAAATAGATGTATGATGATTAAAAATGATTTGAAATATTGATTGGTGAGCAATCTGCTGGGCTGTTCAATAGGTTGAGACTAATGTCACAAATTTCGATGGGTTCCGAGCGGATGATATCTGCTTCTCGCGAACTGGTCGCAATGGTCAAATGATTAGAACGCCCAGATGGAGTGTCCCTGCTTCTAGACAACAAAATTATTGAAATTAATCAGACCATCAAAAAGAATCCGCTCAAACCTGGAAGATCCCAGTCCAGATAATGAAGGTTGATTTTGGGAAGTTTTCCTTGTTGGTGATGTTTTGTCTTCCGAGCTGGCTGGAACATTTGTTTGAATGAATGGAAAGTTTTTTATACGGTAATACATACTGTCACTGAAACTTTCTCTGCTCATGAGTCGCGTAAGTTTTGTAATTAATCTTGATCTGGTCTGAAATAAATTCATTTTAAATTTTTAAGTCAATAATCGTAAGTATTCTTACTGGTTCGCTTGTTTTTTCTTTCATGAAATATTCCTTTTCCTCGCGAGTCATGTTATACAATTTATGGTGCCAGCCGTAGACAAAATGAACCTTGATGTTTTGAATTATTTTCTCCCAGACTCCCGAAATAATTGCTTTCTCCTTATTGCAAACAGGGCCTTCAAAACAGGTTAGAACAATAAAGTCCATATGCATCTGAAATTTAGGAATTAGTTTTCTATGTACTACATTCTTGTACAAACTTCAGTCCACACATTGAACAGGTGAAAGTACTCTTTGACCGGTACCATTGGCGCGAGACATCTGTATCTTCCTCCAAACGTTTGGATCTTTTTGAAAAACTCTTCGTCAATTTTGTTTCCTCCACTCATATCTTCATGATATACAGAAATCGTTTCGTGCAGCATTTGGAGCATATGAAGAACACATCGATCCAATACAAAATGCTGACGCCACGTCTCACTTTTGACTTGATCTACTTTGAACAGTTTCACAAGATGATGTCTGTCAACCAAGAACGTCTCGAATGCTTTTGCTCCTATATCGTAGAGTCTAAAAGGTTTCATGCACATTGCTTGAAGAAATTGATATAGTCTCACGTCTCAAAATTGTCTGGCCAGTGTTTGTGACAGAGTTCCATGTCTTTTTGAGTGACATCAAGCATGTTGTTTTTTGGCTGAAGTATATTATAAATGAAAAATAACCTATAACATTGCTATGTAATTTGTTCTCTTGACCAGATTGAAATGGAAATATTTACTTCTAGAAGAATGAAAAAAGTCATACCTTCTTAGGAAGTTTTTATTTATTTGCAATAAGTAACTACAACCAGCCATTTGTCCCGTTAAAATCCTAGCAAAATTCATTTAGTCATGGAGTTCGTATCTTTGGAAATCCGACGTTTTTAGTTTGTTTCCTACTTGAAATTCTATTTTATTTCATGAGAAATTTTCTGTTTTGCGTAGTTGGAGTATTGCAGACAGGTGATTTTCGAAAAAGAAACCAATTTTTAACGGTTGCCATGGATATTGAACATATTCATGTCAATAAATTGAAACACACGTCAAATACTTTTTAGCCAATCTGCTAGGTTCTAACCAACGTGTACAATTTTTAGAGACAGATTAGTAGACAAACAAATTGGTTCTCGTGCTATGATGTTAGACTTAAACATGAAAAACAAAACACCTGACGACGTTTACTACCAATTCAAAATATGTGTTTTCTAACTTACGTCAATTCCTTTGTGTTCGTACAGTTGATGCATTTCTTTGTTGGTCATGACATCAAGAGGCTCAGATATCAAATTGCTCATGGTGAGTTTACCTCTTTGAAAACTGGAATCCGGGTGAGAAAAGAAGAAAAATAATTACCTTCTGGAAAAATTTGTATTGCTCCGCCTCCCGGAGTTTTCACCTGCATTAAAGGGTGCTGGAAGCTCCGCCTACTTTTATTTTGGGAAATTTCAGTTTCAATTGTTATATCTAAGTGTTATTGGAGCAACACTGCTTATAAACTAAAATCCTATTTGATCTATTCAATGGAGAACAAAAAATTAACATTTGTTTCATACCTAAAATTAAAGAATAATTTGTAACTCAAAAATTATTCAAAATACAGCTCAACGTTTTTAAGTATTTTAGGTTCTCAAAGTTTACTTTATTTTAGTCAAATGTTTTTTTTTTTCAAAAAACAAGGTGAATTCTGTGAGAGAGAGAGAGAGAGAGGCGTAATTTATAGGATAGTTGTCTGTGAATCCACATAGGGTTGAAATGATAACTGAAACGACAGAGAGTTGAACTGATAACTTGAAAAGTTACTTTAGTATCTCGACTATGTTTTCTCGACTATTTGTGGATGTGTGGATTCGCAGATTCCTTGTTTCTCTTTTTTGCAGATTCAGAGGTGATAGTTGAAACTGTAGTAGGTTCACAAGTGATAGTTGAAAGAAAATCAAACAAAATTTTTCGAAATCTCTGGAAGAAGTTATGGACAGAAATCTGAAGAATAGGCTCGAAACAAGCTCAGAAGAATTTTTTATTACTTTGTTCAAACAGGAGATATGCTCTTGAAAATTTGAATCACAGCTTAAACTCAAATGTAAAACATTTTTCTAACCAAAAATTTAAAATAAATTAGTGGTAGTTGACGCTGGAGTAGGTCCAGAGGTGATAGTAGAAACTGTCATAGGTTCATAGGTGACAGTTGAAGCGTGATAGTTGAAGATGGTGTAGGTTCAGAGGTGAAAGTTGAAACTGTGGTAGGTACAGAGGTGATAGTTGAAGATGGTGTAGGTTCAGACGTGATAGTTGAAGATGGAGGAGGTTCAGAAGTGATAGTTGAAAATGGTGTAGGTTCAGAGGTGATAGTTGAAGGTGGAGGAGATTCAGAGGTGAAAGTTGACGACGGAGGAGGTTCAGTGGTGACAGTTGAAGATGGTGTAGGTTCAGACGTGATAGTTGAAGATGGAGGAGATTCAGAGGTGATAGTTAAAGACGGAGGAGGTTCAGAAGTGATAGTTGAAGATGGTGTAGGTTCAGAGGTGATAGTTGAAGATGGAGGAGGTTCAGAGGTGATGGTTGAAGATGGTGTAGGTTCAGAAGTGATAGTTGAAGATGGACAAGGTTCAGAGGTGATAGTTGAAGATGGAGGAGGTTCAGAGGTGATAGTTAAAAATGGAGGAGGTTCAGAAGTGATAGTTGAAGATGGTGTAGGTTCAGAGGTGATAGTTGAAGATGGAGGAGATTCAGAGGTGAAAGTTGACGACGGAGGAGGTTCAGTGGTGAAAGTTGAAACTGTGGTAGGTACAGAGGTGATAGTTGAAGATGGTGTAGGTTCAGACGTGATAGTTGAAGATGGAGGAGGTTCAGAGGTGATAGTTAAAGATGGAGGAGGTTCAGAAGTGAAAGTTGAAGATGGTGTAGGTTCAGAGGTAAAAGTTGAAACTGTGGTAGGTACAGAGGTGATAGTTGAAGATGGTGTAGGTTCAGACGTGATAGTTGAAGATGGAGGAGGTTCAGAGGTGATAGTTAAAGATGGAGGAGGTTCAGCGGTAAAAGTTGACGCCGGAGGAGGTTCAGTGGTGAAAGTTGAAACTGTGGTAGGTACAGAGGTGATAGTTGAAGATGGAGGAGGTTCAGAAGTGATAGTTGAAGATGGTGTAGGTTCAGAGGTGATAGTTGAAGATGGTGTAGGTTCAGAGGTGATAGTTGAAGATGAAGGAGATTCAGAGGTGAAAGTTGACGACGGAGGAGGTTCAGTGGTGAAAGTTGAAACTGTGGTAGGTACAGAGGTGATAGTTGAAGATGGTGTAGGTTCAGACGTGATAGTTGAAGATGGAGGAGGTTCAGAGGTGATAGTTAAAGATGGAGGAGGTTCAGAAGTGAAAGTTGAAGATGGTGTAGGTTCAGAGGTAAAAGTTGAAACTGTGGTAGGTACAGAGGTGATAGTTGAAGATGGTGTAGGTTCAGACGTGATAGTTGAAGATGGAGGAGGTTCAGAGGTGATAGTTGAAGATGGAGTAGGTTCAGCGGTAAAAGTTGACGCCGGAGGAGGTTCAGTGGTGAAAGTTGAAACTGTGGTAGGTACAGAGGTGATAGTTGAAGATGGAGGAGGTTCAGAAGTGATAGTTGAAGATGGTGTAGGTTCAGAGGTGATAGTTGAAGATGGTGTAGGTTCAGACGTGATAGTTGAAGATGGAGGAGGTTCAGAGGTGATAGTTAAAGATGGAGTAGGTTCAGAAGTGATAGTTGAAGATGGAGGAGGTTCAGAAGTGATAGTTAAAGATGGAGTAGGTTCAGAGGTGATAGTTAAAGATGGAGGAGGTTCAGAGGTGATAGTTAAAGATGGAGTAGGTTCAGAGGTGATAGT